TTTTTAATTTTAATTTATATTATTGTATTTTACTTTATTAAGTTTTATTTTAATTAAAAAATAACATAAGTTTACTTTATTATTAGTTTTAATATAAAGTTTAAATTAACTTAAATTAAAAAGGTTAGATTTATTTAAATGTTTAATTTTATTAATAAGAAAATAAAAATGGTTTTGTTTAGATTTTGTTTTAATATTAAAATAAAAAATAGATAAATAAAAATGATTTGTTTTAAAGTAAATAATTTTATTTTAAAAAGATTTTGTTTTAATTAAATAAAGATTTTATTTTAACAAAACGTTTGATTTTTAACCGTTTTTTTCTCTTTGATTTTTTCCTCTTCAAAGGCACGTAACGTGCATCTTCTCCTTCCTTTCCTTCTCCTCTTTTCTCTAACCATCCTATTGTTACTGTTGGAGTATTGTGTATTTAAAGGGGTGCACACACAGAGACACATAGAGGACACAGTGGAGAAAGTTAGAAAGAAAATAGTGAAACCTCGTTAAAGTTTTTTTTAAGTTCTTTTTAGGGAGAATCACCTCCCCTCTTAAATAATCACTACAAACCCCTCACCTTTTCTCCTTCTCTCCCCCTCTAAAACAGTCTTTTTCCTCCATAACCACCACTCCATCTCTTCTTCTTTCATATCTCACCACCACCACCTTTTCTCCTTCATACCCATGACTACCACCGGCGATGCAAGCGAATGACAAGACCTCCAACCACGAACTCCAGCCTCCGGCGACGTACGCAGCAGTAACAGCCTTCTTCACAACTTCTTCCAAGCCCGCTGCACTGCGGTAACCTCTTTCCTGATGATGTGCTTTAAGTGAGTAAAAAATACGTTGGAAAGAACCTTTTTATAATAAGAAACCTTTTTTTAACATAAAAGAAATTTTAAACTAAGTTTTTTGAAAAGAAAATAAAGATTTTGATATTTTAAATTTTGCTTTAAAATAAAAAGGTTTTCTTTTTAAGTTTTTTTTTTAATAAATATAAAGTTAATTTTGTTTAAATAGAAGATATTACTTTAAAATCTTGGTTAAAATACCTTAAAAAAAAGGTGTTTTATAAAATAAATCTTGTTTAAAAAGTTTTTGGATTCTTTTAAATTTCAATTCAAAGTTTAAAAGTTAGTTTTTTAATTTAAATTTTTTAACAACGTTTACTTTTTTTTTTGTCAACTTTGTTTTATTTTTTAATTAAAAAGAGTCACCTTATGCTGCAGGATTTTAAAAAAAAGAGGAGATAAAAATAGAGTCTTTCTATAATAAAATCTCATTTTTTTAAATTTTCTTTTAATGGTTTGCTGGTTATGATTTTGAAAGGAATCTTAGCCCATAAAATCAATTTTGAGTAAATTTGATCTTATTTTGTTAAATTTTGAAATAAAAGTTTTTTATTTTAAAAAATCTCTTTAATTTTGAAATAAATAAAATGTTGTTTTTTTTGTTTTAATTTAACAAAATTCGTAAATTTTTTTTAGTTTTAAAAAAAGAAATTAAAAGTTTTGTCATTGTAAATGGATACAATGTTTGCATCTTAGTGTCTTGGCATAGTGGTAAGACATTTAAGTTTTAATATACATAACCCAAGATCGAATCCTTGCATGTCTAAAAAATTTTTTGTTTTTAAATATTGTTTTTACTAAATAATCATTTTACATAAAATGTTATTTTCCTTTTTAAATGATTTTTTTTTGGTTTATTTTTTTTAAACAAAATTAAAAAATAAAACGTTTGTAGTTTAAAAAAGCAATTATTCAGACAAGAGCTTAGGGTATTGACGACAACAATAATAGTTCGAGTATTTATGTGTTCTATGATTTTGTTTTATTTCTTTTTTTATTTTCATTGTTTTTTTACTAAATAATTATTTCGAAAACTCCAATGACGAAAATTGGAACCTTCCAATATTCTTGAGGAGATAAATTTTTCTAATGGCCTTCGTGCCACTCATACCTATTAATTCAAATCTTATAACAAGGTCTGAATTAATATAACGTGAGACATTTAAATAAAATTACAAAAATATTTTCTTTTGGACCAATAAAAATAATAGGATAATTTTTGACAAAATATGGTACCATTTTCGAACAAGTGTCGTAGGGTGCTAACATCTTCCCTACGCTCAGTCGACTCCCGATCAACAATCTTTTTTCGCAGATCTTGTCTTTATTTTTAGGTGACCAATCACACCTCGTAGATGATTGGTGGCGACTCCAAACCCTTATCTCTAAAGAGACCCATCAGGGGATGACGTCGGCCGCTCCTCGTCGCGATGACGTTGCGACATATAGTATAGTGTTTAGAGTAGGATATATATTATATCTCAAGTTTTATGTATCTGGATATATACTGCTGGTGATTTAAAATTAAGAATCTGGTGGATATATACCGTTAGTGATTTACATCTTGGCTTTCTGATGTAAATCAATACATCCGAATAAATTTTATATCTCAGAAAGTTTAGTCTATGTTATACCAAATATATTGTATATTCAATATGTTATATTTAATACCCTGTCTTATAGAATTTCATGGATATAATTTCATCTTGGGTATAAATTATATCTTACTTAAAAGGCGTTTATACATAATGTAAATAGTAGATTTCAATAGTACAAATAAATTATATTTTATAATAAGTACGAAAAAACATGAACATAATTTATACCCATATATAGAAATAGCTAAACTGTAAATTCATTCATACCCATATTTCCTTCAATGTATAAATAAACTGTGATTTTCTTCTCCTTTCAATATTGACGTCAATCAATACGTGCTTCCCGTTAATATCTTATGTTAAAGGATAAATAACACAAAAGAAAAAATACTAGTTAGACATTTGGACCTCGAACATAGAAGAAATAGCTAAACTGTAATCATAAAATTGATTTCTTTAAAACAAAAACACAATAAAAGAATGTGAACTGCAATAGTTTTTCAAACAATATGGGTATTAAAGCAACTCTACCAATGTGAAATATTGAAGCAATAAAAAAAAAAACTAAAACCCAAAGAATGGGTATAAAGAAGAATCGTAGCAATAGAGAGTGAATGGACGAACAGGTATGAATGAGGAGTAGCAGAAATCAGTAGAAATGGGGATCATGAGAAGACGTGCCAACAATAATTAAGATTTGGATTTTTTCTAATTAATAATATTGGTAAATAAAGAAAATCAATCTTTTTGAAGGATTTGAAGGAGTGAATTAAGGAATTTGAATTGAAAATTAATATGGGCCACAATAATTAAACGATTGTGATATTAATTTATGGAATTAAATCTTTTATATTTCAAAAAAGCAAATAACTATAATAAATGTAAATGCAATAAATAGGGGTACATTCGGAATTAAAATAAAATCATACCTGAAATCTAAAAGTGTAAATTTAAAAAATTTAGACATTTATCTAAATAAATTTCTAAAATAGTCCTCCGATGATATTATCTCTTAAAAAACTACCATATTTTGAAAACTACTTTTGTAAACTTTTTTTTCTCCATAAAATTTAAAATTTAAAAAGTATGTTGCTTATAATTAATTATCAATAACTATTAAAATACGTTAATTTAATTTAAACCATAAAATGTAATATGAACCCTTGTATCTTGCATAAATTAATTAATTCAATAATTATAACCCTTAAGTATATTCAATTTTATAATGTCAAGAGTTTTGGAATTTTAAAAATATTAGACGCTTTTCCATTCCTGCAACTCTAAAATTACTTTATATATATATATACACACACATACTATTATTAGTTATTCATGCAACAATTTGGACCATATGTTTTCTATTTCCTATCAATATTTTCACTGTCAGTCCAACTGCATGCTACCAACAATAATAAGTTCACCATCGTCATAAAGATCAACTACAATTACAATTTGCTTAAGTTACGTGGTTCCAGCACCCATTAAATGTATGTTCTTATCTTTTCACTTTTGCATATCCACATTGTTGAACATGCGGAAGTTTACGTGGAAGTATATTAGATTGAGTTGAAAGCAGCTCAAGAAGCAATATAAGATGATAAGTAATCAAAGTTAGGAGAAGTAGACTCTATTAGGAAAATGCATTGCTTCGTAAAGAAGATGAAGAAAAAAGAAAGCAATAGTTAAAAGATAATTTTTTTCCCTGTTTTTTGTTTTTTGTTTTACAATGGGTTGAAAGAAAAATAAAGAAAAACATATCATGATTTTTTTTTTTTTTTGACTTAAAAGATATATCATGATTGGTTTTTCTTTTCATTGGGAAATTATTGTCCATGCAAACAGGAAAAAAAAAAATTCTTACCTTTTTATTTATTTATTTATTTTTAACTAAGTATGATTTATCAATAAATACAAAAAAGATTTTCATTTTTTAGATATGAAATAGAGATTTATTTTTGTATTTATTTCTTCTTCTTTCCTTAAAAATATTGCTTTAAAGAAAAGAATTCATATTTTTCAATTTCTTTGAGTCCAATCATTTCAATTTGTGGTGTTTTTGGAGGATGGGGTCGGCGGAGGATGATGCTAAAATCAAATCTACTATTTTCTAATTCACATAATATGATCAACCTATGAGAGAATATAAAATTTTGAAAGATATCTTCTATATACTAAAATAAAAACTAAAAATCAAAGCGAGCATAACACTGTGGTAATTAATCTCCCACCCCACATGTTGTACTAAAAAAATAAATAAAAACTAAAAATACCACGTGTTATCAATTTCTTTTCCTCGAGATATTACAATATAATAATATTAATTAAGTAAAAATAGTGCTCTAAAATTTCTATACATTTATTGTTGGTTGTATTTTTGTTGTCAAATGGTAAATTTTTTTAAAAAAATAAATACAACATAAATTATTAACAAATAATTCTCAACTCAGAACATTTTAAAATAAAGCTGGAGCGTCTAATATTGAAGATTGGGGGATTTGGTCCAATACAATACAAGCTGGGTTTCTTCCAAATTTGAATTGATTTCCGTTCATCTTCCAAGTTAAGCATAATCACTCAATTTAGTATTTACAAAAGGGTTTAAAAGAAAACAATCCCCAATTCCCATTTCCATTCCATTCCCAATCCTTCCTTGATTTCAGCACTTTCCATTCCGTTTTTCTTCCATTTCTCTTTTGTCCCTTTTGATTTTTGAGTTCTGAGAGTGGTTCCATTACATTTTTCTTCCGTTTCTCCATCGCCCCTTTTGATTTCTTCTGTGTCGGAAGGATCTTTTCAGTTTTCACTCAATTTTTCCAACTTGAAAAACTGAGTTTTGTTGCAATGGAACCAGACGAAATTGCTACCTACATCGGCGGTGAATTTGGGCAGTCACTCGAGAACTTGACCACCAACTGCATATATGGTGACCGAATTCGCTCCCATGGGGTTTTCGGCGGATCAAACCCTTTTGAGTATTCTGTACCTTCTCTTCTAATTCAGTTGGTTATTTCTGGAGGGGTCATTATGTTGTTTTCTAAGCTTCTCAAACCCCTCGGCCAACCCCTCATCGTCTCTCAAATCTTGGTAACTCTTTCTATCTCACTCTCTTCTCTTGATTACTTGCAATGATTTCTATTCCTGTTGTTGAATTTGCTTTTTTCAGGGAGGCTTAGTTCTAGGTTCTTCGGTTCTGGGCCAGTTCGAGAGATTCAGAGAAACCTTTTTCCCCATGAGGGGATTCATATTACTTGACATAGTAGCTTCAATGGGATATACATTTTACTTCTTTCTCATTGGGGTGCAAATAGATCCTTCCATAGTAAAGAAGATTGACAAGAGGGCATTTGTTATTGGGTCCTGTACTGTGGCTTTACCTTTGGTTCTTAACACCATTTGCATTATAGACTCTCAAATCCCAAAAACCATTTCCACTGTTGCTGCAATAGAGTCCTTTATCGACTTTCCCACGATTGCTTGCTTTCTTTCCGAGCTTCATAGAATGAACTCTGAGTTGGGTAGAATCGCTTTGGCATCTTCTATGGCTTCTGCTTTCTACGGCTATTGCATTATGTTTCTAGGAGATATCTTGAATGCACCCAATGTTCAAAGATATGAGATGTTCTCAATATTTTTTTCTTCTGTCATTCTCATATTCATCATCATTTACGTGTTTCGTCCTGCCATTCTTCGGATGATGCATCCGGCCGGGCAGTCATTGACGGAGGGCTATGTGATTACCTTGCTTTTAGGGGTATTGGTGACTAGCTTCTATTGCCAGGCCACTGGTTTGCATGTACACTTTGGTTCCCTTGCACTTGGGATTGCAATACCTCCGGGGCCTCCCATTGGATCAACATTGGTAGAAAGGCTTAATCTCATCACCTCATGGGTTTTCATGCCAATCTTCTTTGTCAAAATAGGCTGGTTTATCAATATCTTTATCATTAAACTCAAAAATTTCATAGTGTTGTCGTGCACTATCGTTGTTGTTGCGTTGGGAAAGTTTTTAGGCACCTTTATGATTTCAATGTACTTCAAACTATGTGTGCGAGATGCCGTATTGCTCGGCCTTATTGTGAATAGTCAAGGAGCTATGGAGCTTGGTTTGTTTTATTCGAGGAAGAAAGAAAAGGTAGGAACAAGCCTTCATCGTTGATCATCATTATCATCTAATTGCATTGGATCAATATATTCACTGACATTTTGTTCTCTAAATCTGTGCAGGTATTTGATAACGAAACATTTTCAGTTATGTGCATATGCATGGTGATTTTGGTTGCAGTTATCACTCCCATAATGAGATATCTCAATGATCATTCAAGTACGTATGTAGTTTACAACGAAAGAACGATGATGCACTCGAGATCAAATTCTGATCTTCATTTATTAGTTTGCATTCATGACCAAGACGATGTTCCTAATGCCATTAAACTTCTCGAGGCCTTGAATCCAACGAGACAAAGCCATCTTGTTGTTTACATGCTTCATCTGGTTGAGCTTCTTGGCCGTGCTAACCCACAATTCATTGCCCACAAGCGTACGAAGGTAGGTACTTCAAGGTCTTGCCCTTCTGAGCATATCGTTAATGCCTTCAAATACTTTGGACAGAGCAACCGTGACATAGTTGAAATTTATCCCTTCACTGTTATATCTCGTGTTGCGACTATGCACCACGACGTTTGTTCGCTCGCATTTGACAAAGAGACTTCTTTGGTTCTTGTTCCTTTTCACAAGAGATTTCATTCCAATGGTGTGTTGTCATTGTGCAAAAGTAAAATGAGAACAGTTAACAATCACATCCTTGACAAGGCACCCTGCTCTATCGCCCTTGTTGTTGACCGCGGACTCTTGAAAATCTCAAGCTCTATCACAACAAACTTGCATTATTTTCACATAGTCGTGGTCTTCATAGGTGGACCAGACGACCGAGAGACAATGTTCATTGGGGCAAGAATGGCTGGACACCCCAATATCAACTTGACAATGATCCGTCTAGTGGAGGATGGAAATGTCCCGTGCTATAACTTAGAAGAGAGGAGGCTTGACGATGAGGCAGTGAGCAAGTTTCGACAAACTATGGTAGGCAACTACAGAGTAATGTACATAGAAGAGGTGGTTACGAACGGCACTGGAACGGTCTCTATACTCCGTTCGATGGAGAACAATTTCGACCTTGTAATGGTAGGAAGACGCCATTGCCTAAGTTCACCTCTAGTTCAAGGGTTGATACTTTGGAACGAAGATACAGAACTTGGGGCAATTGGGGAGGTGTTGGCCTCTTCAAATTTCATGGGCAATGCCTTAATCTTGGTTGTGCAACAACACACAAAAGATTGATGAAGATCAAGAAAATCACCTGGAACCTAGGTTTCCCATTGACAAGTATTTAGTATAGGATGAGGGAGAAAACATTTACTTCAATAGCAGATCATTCAAAAGTTTTGATTGTTGCAAAATTTACTTACTCCAATGATACAAAGTTGGAGAAGTCATTTTTGCTCTCTCACACTTTTTTTTTTTCTTTGAGCTTCGACAATGTACATTTTCACTCAAGCCATGTGTAAACCAAACAACACCCTTTAGAGCTAGTCAATTTCTCTTCCAATTTTACTCAATTTTGTGTTTGGTTAATATATATTGATATTTATTTTTATTTATGTTTGTTCATAACAATGACTTAAGTCTAATTTTAATTGTGTTTTTTAGTTTAGAATGAAAAGTTGATATCCTTAAAAAAAAAAAAAACACTAGAAAATTGGCATTAGTATTATGTTAACTAATTAGAAAAAGTTCACATCCCATCATGTAAAAGGTATGATGATGCTATTACGCCATTATATTATGACATAATGAGTTGTCAAGTAAATTTTTGTATGGTGTCACATTTTTTTTTGTTTGTTTTCAAGTAACAATTGAGTTCGAGAGTTGCAATGACGAGAGATTGAACCGTCAAAGTAAATGATAGTAACATGTATCTTTATCTAGCTGAACTATGCTCGAATTGACTTATTCTTCTTTTTTTTTTTTTAATTCTTTGTTTTCCTGAAGCAACTAAGACAATCACTTTTCAAGGCATGTTTACTCTTCACATTAGTGATTGTCTAACGATTATTGGTACCAAGTTTGTCGTTCATTTTTAAAAGCTATTTTTGCGACAATTCTATTTACAACTCTACCATCGTTTATGTTTTCATTACTCATTTCAATGACAAAATTTTTCAAGAGCACACTTTGGATTAATTTTATACTTTAAGAGTATAAGTGAAACAATTTAAACGATATGGGTGTAATTAAAACTTATCTAATTCAAGGGTATTATAAAAATAACTCAGCCTAAAAATTTGAATTATAATTTTGCTGGAAAACATTTTTGTAATTATATTTTAGGGCAAATATTTGTTAAAATGAGTAAATATTTGTTTGGCTTACTTGGCTTTCCTATTTTTCTCTCTTTTTGTCCTCAAAGATTGCTAACAATGTGTATTGCCACCCTCTCTTCCCCCTCTCTTCCTCACTGTATAACTCCCCCTCCTTTCTTTTTTCTCTCTCATTTCCTCCGATCCCGTCATTTTTCCTCCTCCAACGAAAACCCACCGCGCCGAGTGTCGCCACTCTTCTTGGTTGTCGAAGATCGTCGTTGTCTCACCTATGCGTCATCAAGAAATTGCTACTGCCATCCCCACATGTTTGTTTCTTAAGAACAGTAGTTGTTAAGTAAGAGGATTCCTTGAGAATTGAAGTCACTAAAAGCCACTAGAGTGCACAATGGGGCAAAAGTGTGGCCACAAAATCATTACCTTATCGAATACCAATACATGACCGCTAGATCATTACCTTATCCAAAGCTAATATGATACAGCTAATAGTAGGCGTCTCTATCTGTCACTTCCTTTTAAAAAATAGCCAAATGGTTTTTGTGAATAAAAAATGTGTATTTGTATTTTTCCAGCTGTTTCACAGGTTTGTTTGTTTTTTACCATTTTACCCTTTCTATTTTTTTTATTATTTTCAAACTCAAAATACTACTTTTCCTCTTAGGTTCTCAATTTTTCCTTCTCACTTTCAAATATATATTTGAATATATATACGTGTATAAACAGAATTTGCAGAGGCGTAATGTGAAATGCTTTATTTTTTTTTATTAATTGTGTCACAAAAATAGAACTTATCGGTTCACCGTATTTGTTCATTTATCTGTTCACTTTATTTGATCTGTTCACTATTTTTATTCATCTGCTCATCATATTTGTTATTTGCTCATCGTATTTGTTCATGTGGTCACGATATTTGTTCATGTGGTCCACGTATATGTTCATGTATTCACCATATTAGTTCTTTGTTCCACGTTCTTAGTATTTATATTTCTAATTATACTTTATTTATTATATACTTTTTTAATATTTATGTGTATCATTTTCAATAATGATTTTATTGTTTAAATTTGTCTTTTTTTACAACTTTTGATAATGGTTCTCTTATTTAAATTTTGTTAATAGATTTTAATTTAATGAATATTTTTTTATTTAGATATTTTAAAATAAAAGAATTTGAAGTGGCCACTAATCATGTTGAAGGTGTGATTGGTAACCCAATTAGAAGAAAGGTAAATTAGTCTATGCATATCAGATTGAGTTCAAAAGTCCTTTGTGTATAGGGAAGGTGTTGCCTTGATGTGTAGGGAAGGTGTTAGAACCCTACAACACCCATGAAAACAATTACCATTATTTTATTTTTTTATTATCCAATTTATTAAATTATTAAAGATCCACAAAGATTTATTTTATTTTATTTTAAATGTCTCATGTTTATTAATACACATTTTAGAAATAAAACATGAATTAATGACTATGAATGACATAAATGCCCTTCAAAATATAAAATTTTATTTTAAGAAAAATTTCATGTATTTAAGAAATTTAATAAATTCTTTAAAAAAAAACACTACTCAATCTCCCTTTTATTTGTTTAGAAAAATTGTGAGTGACTTTAATTTCATTTTTAATTGTTTAATGAAAATTTTTGCTTTTAATTATTGAATTTCATTTTAAAACGAAAATTTCATGTATTTATGGAATTTATAAAATCCATAAATAGAACACTACTTCGTGGAAATTTATATTTTTATTTGCAAGAGAATTTTCATGTATTCATGAATTTTAAGAAAATCCAAACAGTATTGATTCTCAAATTTGTTTTCTATKGTTTGTCAACAAATTGGTTTTTAGAATTTTGTAAAAATTAATTTTTGGAAGGAATTTCATGTATTTCCGTGATTTTATCAAAAATCCATAAAAGAACACTACTCAATCTAAAAAATTAAATATTTATTTTTTTAATTTATTTTGAAATATTAGAAAAAGAATGCACTTGATTTTCTATTTTTATTTTGGCATTTTATGTTTAGATACATTGAATTTCATGGAGGTAAGGAATATAAAAATATATATAACAATAAATGGCATAACATCATGATTTTAATTCATATAAAATAATAATTAACAAGAAAATAAATTAGATCTTCCATGTTATCTAACAATAGAAAATTTAAATGAAACTAACAGTAAAAATGTAGTTCAATGGATACACATTACAAGATAGAAACGATGTCAGTATCTCAAACACATTAACTAATATGTGAAATTGAAATTGTGGTGTAAGTCAAAATATGTTCCATAAAATAAAACCACAAAATAAAAGTGCAACAAAATTGCATTTCCTCCTATTCTAATTTAAAATAACAATAATTAAATAAAGAAAACGAAACGAAAGAGAATTTCAAACATTTCCATAAATGTTGATTACAATAGGATTTGGTAGATTAGAGACTGGCACCTACGAGGAAGAGATTTTCTGGAGAATACCTTCTGCATCTCCCCTCCCNGTGATTAGAGAGATTTTGAATAGAGTCCGTTCTGTATTTTGATATTCCGCCAAAAATTGATAGAGACCCCACTCTCCCCGTGTGTTTTTTCCATATACCTCGCAATGGAGATGTTGAGTTGAACCAAAAAATGAACGGACGGCTTAACAGTGTACCAATTGGAGAGATAATAAAGAAAGAAATTTCGTTAAAAATGGAATTTTGAGAGATGGAAAGATATGGTAAAAAATTCCACGTATTTTTTCTCTCTGTATTTTTGTGTGTTTCTTCCTTCTCCTCCGTGCTCTCTCCCCTCAAAGAAAAATTAATCAATTTATATAGACATAAGAAAAACTTGGAGGGAAAGGAAATGAAAGTACTCCGTATATGCGTGGGAAGGAGGTTTTTGATATTCCAACCAAATTGACCCTGTGTGTTTTTTCTCGTGTATGGAGATACCTCTCTCCCTTGACTATCGATGTGAAACCTATTTATAAGAAAAAATAGAGAATGTGGGAGAGTTTTGATAGGAGAAAAAGATGGAGAGTGGAAAATGTAACAGAGGGAGAATGTGGGGAGAGAATCGAGAGAGGAAGAAAATTTGTTGGGAAGAGGGACAAATATGTGATTGAGAAGGAGATATTGTTGGGAGAGAGGTGGAATATGGAGAGTGGGAAAGGGAGAAAGAGAGAAATATGGTAGGTGGGAGAAAACAGGGAATGCAGTTATGGAGAGAATTTTTTTTTTAATACAAAAATTCAATTTTATAATTACTTTTTTACTTTTTTCTTATTATATTTATATTTTTGTGTATTTTTAGAATAAATATCAAATAAAATTAAAAATGACGCGGACAAAATACCGTATCTACAATTCTTTTAAAATTTGGTTAATAAAATATTTGAATTGAAAAAATATAGTAAGATTCTTCTATAAAAAATGGGTTGGGAAAATATAGATAGAATTCTATAAAAAGGAAAAAATAATACATTCCTTTTAAAATCATTTTAGAAAGGATAATTTTGTACCTAAAAATTAGCAGAGAACCACCTATTTTACATTGAACATTCTTGAAAACTAAGGGTGTGTTTGGGAGTGATTTTGGCCCGACAAAAATTACTTTTGCGTTGCCCAAATCACTCCTATTTCCATTGATCATATTTCACAAATTAAAAAATTGATTTTAGGAAAACATAAAATCACTTAAAATTTATTTTTAAGGTATCACTTGGTGGTGATTTTGAAAAATGAATTACTCTTAAATCTCTTTTTTCAAAATCACTCCATCTACAGACACTCCCAAACACATCCTAAAAGTTGTTTGACCATTCTTTGAAATTATCCATTTTAGAAATTTACTTCATGAGCATGTATGTTTGGGTTATATTAGTAATGTTAACATCTATATAAACTTGAAAATCCATAAACAAGTAGTGGTAGACACCAAATTCTCACTTCAAAAATTAATAACACTAGATGACTCCTCCAAAGACATATTTGAAGGGATATCGAATCCGCAGTGGAAGTGCGTGAATGCTTGTGCTTTGATTTTGTTTTATGAAAAACTAAAAAGAAAAGAAATTAGCAACACAAAGAAGGAGAACCTACCTTTGAAGATCGTTCTTCAACAATAGCACCAACGCCACTAAGAAGCCTTCCTTACTATCCTCTAGACAAGAACCAATTTGTGGGAACCGTTTTTAAAACATAGATTTTTTAGAGAGATTGTGAGAGAAGC